CTGCTTATTTGTTGCACAGTCGGTTCCTGGTTGGTTCGCTGATTGCCATAGATCCCTGTCGCTGATCTTTTCAGGCCGGCCATCTGATCTTAAGCTAAGTACTGAGCGAAGACAGCTGTTGACGAAGGTCTGTAGCTTGTTCGAAGTCCCCTTCGTGACACGGCGCCAAGTCTCTGATCCGTATAGTGAGTAGCACTGACTTCACATTGGAGTTGAAAATCCAGATCTTATTTTTGATGCTGAGTGCTGTTGACCTCCACACAGACTTGAGAGTAATGAAAGCTTGTCTTGCTTTCTTGATCCTTAATTTGATATCCTCATCAGTTCTGCCTACAGTTATATATATATATATATATATATATATATATATATTATCGGTGAAGTCCAGATCCTCCAAGTTTTTTGTGTGGGTCCATTTTATGCCTGTTTCCTCGTTGCTCGCCGCTGGCTGTCACATTATCTAATCTACTGCAATCAGGAAAATCATTGGAGATGGTAGGCAGCCAGCTTGTCTTACTCCCATCTTTACTTCGATGGATTCCGTAAGTTTCCCGTTATGGATTACTTGGCGGCAGCGTTATCATACAACTGTTGGATGAGATGTATAATTGTTGGCGACACTGTTTGGTAATAGCGAAGTAGTTTCCAAATCACTTTTCGATCGACGCTGTCGAAGGCTGCGTCAAGGTCGTATCCCTTCCCTAGCATTACTTCGGCTTAGCGAGTTTAGGAGTGCCTCGTCGGCTGGGAATCGAACCCCGGACAATGTGTGGTGGTGTGGCTGTGTCGAGCATTCTCTCGCTAAACCCGACTAGCACAAATTACATTCTACAATTTATAATCTATATTATCTAGTCAAATAGTGTGTTAGAAAAATATGTGTTGTGTGTGTAGGTGTGTACTTTTGGATAGATATAATTGAATTACTCTCTACTCATAGCACAATAGGGTTGGTCAATTGCACACATACCTCCTTTGTAGAATGTGACTAATATACAAGAACAATCCTTCATATTTTGTTCACTTACAATTAGTTAGTTTAGGCTTTATTGACTTACAATTTCACTTTTCTTTGTTATTAAGTTCACCTAGAACTATGTGGTATATGCTGTGTGTGCATTTGTGTGTGTATATCTAAGCAAAGTAATTCACACACACACACAATTTAATTCAACTAGTTTCATGTTATGTAATTAAATTCTTTACAGCCTGAAAGACAAACATCTGTTTTATAACCAAACGGAAATAGTTTATACTGTCTCCTTTCTACCTAGAGATATATGGCTAAAAATGATACTGTTGTACAGTGAAGTGAAATTAGTCCTTTGAATACTTTGGTTTCATTTCAGGATACACATACACCAGTTTAGAAATTAATTACACATGGGGTGGTGAACTAGAACACAGTTGGACCTTTTTGTTGAGTTGTTTTTTTTTAGAATAACAAGATTTGTTAAAGTTGTAAACTAAATAACATTTTCTAAATCACTTTGGTGTTTAATTCAATTTTAGATTTTCCCTTCGATTGATTGATTGGACCGAAGTGCTCGGTCTCAGATTGACATATCTGTCGGCTTCTTGTGCAGATGCTTCTCCGACGATGTCTGGAAATGTAATTAGAATTTAATTGGTGGATGGTGACTAGCAGTGGTACATTCCAGGATAATGCGTATTTCGTCCTAATTAGGACTCATCTGCCAGCTGGATGTACTCGCATTCCACAGTGAGTGAGTGAGTGATGATGTTCCCACCGAGGCTCGAATCAAATGCCCATAGTTTCAACCACCAGCTAAAGCGTTATCCACTAGATCACTTGGGCCACGAGAGCCACCTGTTGTGGAATGCGAGTACATCCACCTGACCAGTCCCAAATAGGACGAAATGAGCTTTATCCTGGATTGCACACTGCTAGTCACCATCCACCAACCAAATTATAATTAAAACTTGGTGTTTGTTTCCTTGCACTTGTCGGTTAGACATATCTGCAATACTGAAGCAGTTTATGTCTCCTTTGGGACTCGAACCTGCGGAAGTCAAATAAATTACCACTGAGTTATCTGGATTCACCATTGACCTCTTGTGGGATTGTGGTGGATACACACTGACTGATTACAGGGTAGTGACCACCCTTATCCTTTTGGTCCTTAGTGTTGTTGCTGATCTCATTTGCTTCAGTGGTTAGAGATCTAGCTTACTGACCAGTGCCAACAACCGTGAAGCCTCGGTCTAGCGCTTCCTGCTGATCGCCTCTAACTGTCTAACATCAATTCAGAGTGAACGGCAATGGCGATTCACCTGACTGACAATGATTTATTCAGCCCAAACTCTGAATTATATATATATATATATATATATATATGAGGTTTTCGTAACCATCACTATCAGCGGAATAAATCTAAAATAGGTCATCGCTTCAACTAAAGTTGTGCTCTATGAATGTCGAAACCAGAATCACAAAGCCAAGACAGCTCTACATCACTATGAAGTCAGTTTGGCAAACTTCTGCCCTCCGCGCAGAGAACAAATTTCGGATTTTCAACACCGATTTCAAACCAGTCAATTCTCTTATATATGTATATAGGTCAGAAGCTTGGCACCAGCGTGTCACGAAAAAAAGCATTTCCAACAGTCAGCTGCAGACTTTTAGCAACAACTGCCGGATAGAAAGAATTAACCACAAGGGAGTCTGGCAATGAGCTAACCAAGAACCCACTACTGTACAAATATGCCGAAGATGCATGCTGAGGAGACCGTTGGATGAAATCGTGCGCCCCAGGCAATTGCTCAAGTGCAACCCAAATGGGTAACTACGAGTATTGCGTGTGTCTGAGGATGATATAGAAGAGATTGCGCGAAGAGGAGATCAGACCCTATGGGGCAGTTGTGAGGCCAGCTAAAGAGCACAGCAGAAAGAGAGAGTAGGACAAAGAGATGTTTTTCGTGAAGCCTTATGTTCCACTTGGAATCCACGGGAATCTTACTACTACGAGTTGATCACGGATTGATATCAGCTAGAGAACCATTGAAAACCAGGAAGTACTTAATAGCCAGCTGTTTCTTCCTAGTTTGGGAATTATCGGAAGTACGCACCCCCCCCAGAACCTTCCGGTTACAAGGCAAGCTATCTCGTATACCATTCAGCCACTGGGACCCAATTGAATGGCTAGCCCATGAATTCCAACTTCTACCAATTCGTGATTTAGCGCGACCACCAACCAATGTCGTCGGTCGGACATCCATCCTCACACGTCACATCAGAATGAACCTCACTGGTCACGACTTCTCACTAGAACTCTAACCCTAACTGCCGATAATTCCCAAACTAGGATGAAGCAGCTGGCTGTGCAGTACTCCCTAGTTGTCACGTGTGAAAATGGATGTCCTACCAACGACATTGGTTGGGGTCGCGCTAAATCACGAATTGTTAGAAGTTAGAATTCATGAGCTGGCCACTGAATTGGGTCCCAGTGGCTGAATGGTATACGAGCTAGCTTGACTTGTAACCAGAAGGTTCTGGGTTCGAATCGTAGTGGTGGATGCGTACTTTCGATGATTCCCAAACTAGGAAGAAACAGCTGGCTGTCCAGTACTCCCTGGTTTTCAATCCGTGGTCAACTCGTAAAAACAAAACTAACCCTTAAAAACCAAACTATAGAAAATCTTACTACTACTACTACACTACTACTACAACTACTACTACTACTACTACTAAAAAATAATAATAGAGAAATACACAAATTTGCATAGTTTTCAATACTTCTGTGACTGACATCAATTTGTGATAATACTTGAAATAAATCAAATACCTACACAAACTAAGTCTTCAAAATTAATCTGAGGCTCGCTAATGACTACTCTGGCTACAGAACGAAATGTTTTAGGAAACCTAGTGGGAAGTTGTGACCAATGACGTCCACTAGGTCGAGCGTGAGGACAGATGACATTGGCTAGTGGTCGCGCTGAAATCGCAATGACAATAATCCCTTTCATTATCATGGTAGCATATAACTGTAGAACTTGGAGTCGGCGAAGTTGTCGAAAAAAATATATTCTTTGTTCACTAATTAGTATCTTAAAATTTTTTAATGAGCGTCATTCTAGTAATATTCCATGCATCTACTCCCCTTGTGGTGTGGGCAGGCTGCTAGCCAATCGGTAGACATCAACCTACGTCAATATCTAGGTCACTTATATTGGCCGTGAGAAAATATAAACAAGACTGATTCGACAACCAATCAAAGCAGACTTAACGTGGGCTATTATGATTCGCAGATAGATGGCTCCATTTTCCGAGGTTACCTGAAACAACCAATCAGAAGCCTGCGTTTGTCTACTTGAATAAGCTATAGTAATGTACATGAAATATGTATAAATACGTGCTGCTTTCCGTAATAAGACGATCTGTTGCCGGCCCTTGTCTTCTGTTGTTACACCCTTAATAAATTTGAACAAAGCAAGAACTATAGTTTTAGTAGAATAAAGTGGTACCATCTTTTATTTCATTGTCTCCTCGTCAGCTGTTTACAGGCCAAAGACATTATTAAATAAATCTACAAAAACCATTTTAACATACTTGCGCAGAGTTCATTTTAAACATAAATCAATCGATCAATATATGCATACAGTAATAATATAATATTATATAATATTAAACACTATTCCGAACAATAATAATCATACACAATGGGAACTTTTCTGCATTTTGCATTCCGATGAAAGAGAGATGAAAATATCCAGTTACCAGGGTGGGCAAGGAAAGACTGATAACCGCTTCTTTCTGAACGCATAACTCAGGTTTCAGGCGCTTGATGGAAACGGCACTGTTTAAAGCATTTGTTCCCAGCTGGGAGATATAAGCTTTTTAGTACATGTTCAGGAAATCGTAATATTCAGTAATATTCGTTTGTCTTATTTATTATCACTCTGAACTTACTAATTTTTAACTATCCATGTGTGTATTTTGTTTTTCCCCCTGATATTCCTGAACAAATGTTATCCAGAACCACTATCAACACAACAGACAAGTAGAAGAAACACCAGACCACCATTTTCAGCTGGTGGACGTCGTATTTCAACCGGTGCTACATCTTTAGCTAGTCAGAATACAGCTCCTAGTCAGTTGCAACGATCTAAACTATCATCACCACCGACTCGTGCTTCAATGCCACCAGCGACAAGTACAGGTTTGACAAGTTCGCGTTCTTATCTGCGTGGGGCATCATCTGCGACTAGACAAGGTAAGGTGTGGCTTTTTGTTTTGGCTACTGTTTACCTTTAAGAAAACATAAGTCAGTGTGAAGAGAATATCTCCTTTTTCGAATAAGGCATTAGGAAAACAAATTTCGCGAGATGTTATCGTCATTTCGTAGTTTCTTTACAACCGCTATACAACTAGTGACATGGTTAAAAATAATAAAATAAAGTTCATGGCAGTAAAGAAAGGCCACATCTCTAAAAGACAGCTTCTGTACCAAATAAAGCTATCTTTATTAATCTATCTCATTCAAGGGTGACCAGACTATGCAGTTGACAGCTAACTCAAAGACTTCGGTCAGCCATCAAACGCACATTCTACGCCGCCACATCTCTTTTTCTCACTTACCGAGCATTTTCGATCCCTGTACCTACTACGATTAAAGGACGAAATTCTATGGACTCGACTTCCAACTGTATCTACAAGTTCACCTGCCGCTGATGGGACACCTATATAGGTGGAACGAACAGAATGTTCCAATGTCGTCTTTGAAAAGAACATGTTCCGAAATGACTACTAAATCATATAGAAAATTCCAACGCGATTAATCTGAATAGAAATCCGTCATCATCATCCATTGCAAAACACTTATTAATGTCAGGTCACAAAATCAATATTAATTAATGACTGTTTCACAATTATTACATCACATAACTCGAATTCAAGGTTGGTTATTGAAGACGATGGAAGCACTTTGGGGATTAATCACATACAGCCTAAACTATGTGTACAACAAGAAAACAAACTTCAATCTTCGCCTACCATGGATGACATGATCTATCTAAATATGACTGGTTATCAGTATGTACTTTTGTGTTATTTATTTAATTGAGTAATTGTCATGATCTTTATTTTATTATCGTTAACCATAATGCTTGTTGTAAAGCGATTGTAGAGCAACTACGAAATGACGATATCATCTGGTGAAATTTGTCTTCTTTAATGCCTTATTCAAATTCATCAACCTTTCTCTTTTTGAAGCTGTACAGTTTTATGCAGAGGTTTATGCATGCAATTTCAGCTGGTTACAAAGGTCACACACAGGTTATGGTTAGTTAGTAATACAATAAGGGAAAATGCATGAGAAATGACAGTGTGTGAAAAATAGAGAGCAACCTTACGTAATCATTGATAGAGAGAAGGAGTTGACAAGTTACTAGTTACGCAATGATGAATGAATATTATTATTATTATTCCCTTGGGTTCCGATTGGAACATAGGACTGGCTTCAATAACACATTTCCACTTCCTTCTCTGTTCTGCTGTCCTCTTCAGATGGCTAGGTCCACGATCGCCCATAGTCTCTCATCTCTCTGTTCCTCATCTGCGCACGATCTCCTCCATGTCACCCTCTCACCGACGACCCACTCGTCGCTTCCCCGATCGGATTCTACTCGAGCATGGGCCCGCGTCGAGCCCGATTTCATTCTATGGCCTCTTCAGTGTATGCCCGACCAATCCATCTGTATTTTCTACTGCATATTTGTTCAGTAGTCGGCTCTTGCTTGTTGGTTTTTATTCCCAGACATCCAGAGTTTCTGTTTTGCTATTACTTTTTGACCGGCCGGCTGGCCATTCGATCTTCTGTATGGAGCCAACCATCGAAATGGGTGGCTGTTGATAAAAGTCTGCTTGTATTTTGTTGAAAATGCTTTTCGTGACACGTCCTGCAAGTTCCTGACCCGTACAGAAGACTCCCTATGGTTGAAACCGTGCTCCCTGGCCAGATAAGTGAAAGAAGCAACTTGTGTTAAATCTCCCCCACTGATGGTGCTGTGATGCTGGTTTTTATTGTTTTTGTACTGTTGGTGGTTGGTTGGCTATCTTCATCACCTACCTCCGTCTTCTCTATGTTCATATGGATTCCTGTTTTCGCTGCCTGCCAGCCTCTTCAGTCAATTTGTTGATTTCCACCTGCAAGTCTTCGAGTTTGTGTGAATATTAAACATAAATCATCTACACGCGAAATCCAGATCTTCTAGAGTCTTCTCGTTGGCGGCACAATGTATTCCTGTCTTCTCACTCTCCACACGCAGTCTTCTGCATAATCCAGTCCGCCACAATTAAGAATATCATCGTCAGTGATAATAGGCAGGCAGCCTTGTCTTACGCCTCGCGAAATGATGTATGGACTATGTGGAGTTTATTATACAATAGTTCAGGAAAGCGAAAATTGACACTAAAGCTATGCGTAGTAAAAAGGCTGGACAAAATATTTCTGTAAATATAAGTTTGAGGTTTATTTTTTTCTTTATGGATTGATCGCTAAAGTTTCGGCTGCAGCAAGAATACATAAACGAAATTTATATGAAGAGTTATTTTTAAACTTGTTTCAAGATTGACTACGGATTGATATCAGTTACAGAGAACCAGTGTAAACCAAGCAGAGAGTACTGGACAGTCAGCTGTTCCGCCCTAGTTTAAGACTCTTCACCGGTACGCATCCACGCTGGGGTTTGAATACAGGACCTCCCGATTACAAGGCAACCTCGTAAATCATTCAGCCAGTGAGAACCAACTCAGTGGCCAGCCCATGAATTGTAACTTCTACCACCAATCAATATCATCAATGGAGAGTATTTGTCTTCATTCCCGACCTGTTGGACCCCATTGCCAAGACCACTTTTCACTAGGTGCATAGAGTGCTCGGCGACCACGCCGGTGGTCCGAGTTTCGATCCCCGGCCTTTACCTCGCTATTCCAGAAATAAAAGCTGGTAGAGAAGAAAGGTTTTACATGAGGCTAGCGACCCATCCTGTAAAAATAAACACTGCTACAGAAACTTCAAGCCTTCTGGCTCCGAGATATTTTATCAACCATATTTTAAGCTTCTTTGGTGTATGTGTGTGTGGTTTAAAATAAGTACTTTGCTTTTGAAAAAAAGCATGTATGCATCTAATTAACTACACATGACGTAATCATATATCAGGTCATATGCATTCGACCACATGTGGTACGTGTATAGATGACTTATAATTGATGTGTTGATGTGTACAGTGAGATTTCATAGAACCATGTGGCCCACTAGGCCGAAACATTTAAAAGTACTAATGTCGAGTGTTTACAGTTGATAATTGCCTATTTGTGTTAGTGTGTGTGTGTGTGTGTGTGTGTGTGTGTGTGTGTGGAGAAAAGCAGTTAAATTGATGACTTAATTTTACAATTAGCTTTTTACAGTTGTTAACGTGATTGTGCAGCAGAACAGGAATATATTATAAGAAATGTATTTTTTAAAGAATGGATACCGAACAAAGAATACTCTTTTCGATAAATCCTTCTTCATCAGGCTTTACAGTTATATACACATTATAGTGAATGAATGAATGAATTAGTGTGATGAAAAACATTCATGTTTAAATAACATCGAATCAATAATATTGACAGATTACAGCTGAATAGCATCAACATAAAATAAGCTGAATGTCATAGAAATTAGGAAAGATAATATTACAATGAATTCATGAATTTATAGTCTCTACTGAAGGCCCGCAAGGGCAGTAGTAGGGGCTAACTGGACTTGCTTCTTTTGAACACAGAGCACTGGTTGTTTGAGGCGAATTGCAATAGCCTCTGCTCTTTGGATCATGCGGTGCTTCGATGATTTTGGCAATTTATTAGGCACCCGGTAGATGATAGAGAAGGATTCTTCCACGATGGCTGGCTGACTTTGTGGCCAGTTCGCACCAGATGTCCAATATCGAGCTGTTAATGGTTTTGACTACACCTTTACTTTACCATAGTGAGAGATGTCCTCTGGAGAGTGCACGAAAAATCAAGTTCCCTAGACCAACGACCAATATAACTCGCTTCACTGAAAGCACAGTTGAATTGGCAGATACAATTTGAAGTGGCTAGCTAGTCTAGGTACTTTACCTTTCAATCGAGGTAGCGCCATTGGTCATGTAGAAAATTTTCTTCTTTGAGCTAGGTGACTCTGTCCTGCAGATAAGATTATTGTTGTGCTTAATATCATTAAGTAAGGAAATCTGCTATGCTATTCTTTTTTCCTTCACGTTCCTAGTGGAACGTAGGGCTTCAAGCTAGTGTTTTGAAGTTTCTGTAGCAGTGTTTAATTTTACCGGATGGGGTTGCTAGCCTCATACCCAACCTTTCCCTTTTACCAGCATTATTTCTGGTTTGGCAGGGTAAAGGAGTGCGTCGTCCGGGTATGGAACCCCGAACCATGTGCATGGTCGGCGAGCGTCCTAACCGCCATGCCACCGACGCTATGCTATGCTATTAGCATAGCATAAAGAATAATTTTGATGTAGTCGTGTTCTCTAAGCTGGATGGTTTATTTGCGAAGCATATAAAGAATAATAATAATAATATTTGGATTTTCAACACCACTGTCAAGTCACCCACTGCTCCTATATCGTTTACAGACTTGGCACACTAAAAGCACTTCCAACAACCTAATGGACTGTTCGGCAGGACTGAGAAGACAAGAATACTTTGGACCGATAGGAAGACTGACTCTACGAAGATCGGGATTTCGTGCATGGGTGATTTATGTTTAGTGTCACACAAATTCCAAGACTTACAAGCAGGCGAAAACCAACGAACTGACTGAAGAGCCTAGCAGGCAGCAAAGACAGCACTCCAGGTGAACATAGAGAAGACGGAAGTGACGAAGGCTACCAGCCAACCAACACGAGCAGCAACAGCAACAACAGCTAACACCAATTGCCATCAAAGGGAGAGATTTCACAGAGGTTACTTCCTCCTTCACCTATCTGGCCAGGAAGGATGGCTTCAACCACACAGGCCCACCACACGAATGAAGATGTCAAACCCAGCCAGCCAATCAGTCAGAACCGGAAAGGCGAGACAAGATACGCCTTGATCAACCAACCCAAAAGCAGTTTGGAAATATTCTAATCTAACTCAGCCAACCAGCTTAAACAACAAGATTCAGGTTCTGTTCAAGACACATATGAAGTCAGTCAGTCAGTCACTTCTTCTACACGGATCAGAAACGTGCAGAGACCATGTCACGAAAAGGATTTCTGACGAATCACTTGAGACTTTTATCAACAGCTGCCAACCTCTCTGGCTGGTTCCACACTGAAGGTCAAATGACCACACAGCTGGCCATCCAGCTAGCAAGAAAGAATTAGCAACAAGAAATTCTGACTGAATGGTGAGAGCAGATTGCTCAACAAAGGTATATGTAGGAGAAAATGGAGATAGACTGATTGGGAATACGTTGAGGAGGGTGTGGAATGATATCACGCTCGGCGCAGACTGTTCATCAGTCGAGTGGAAGTCGAATGGAACGGGAAGTGACCTGGGGGGGGGGTTGTGAGTGCGAGGGTGATATGGAGGAGATCGTGTGAGTTGGAGGAGAAGAGATGGGAGATGATAGGAAATCGTGGAGCTAGCCAGCTGAAGAGGAGAGCATACGATAGAAGGAAGTGGAGGTGTGTTATTGAAGCCATTCCTGTGCCTCACTCAGAACTCAAGGGAATAAAATAAATAACCTATATACTATATCGTGGTGTAGCAGTTAGGCCGCTCGCCGACCATACACATGGTCCGGGGTTCAATCCCCGGCCGGCGCACTCCTTTACCTCGCTGAGCCAGAAATAATGCTGGTAAAGAGGAAAGGTTGGGCATGAGGCTAGCAACCCCATCCTGTAAAATAAACACTGCTACAGAAACTTCAAGCCACTAGCTTGAGGCCCTATGTTCCACTGGGGAACGTGAAGGAAAAAAATATATATATACTATATCCGGTTACCACCTATATCAAGTGATCCACAACGGAAAACTTCATGTGATTCTGTTGGAGTGAAGAAAACACTACGACAAGGCTGCGCATTATCACTAATGGTACTCCTGTTTGGTATGGACTAGATCATGCACCAGACTGTAGGATACGAGAAGAGAGGAATACGTCGAACCGATAATATTAAGACCCTAGGAGAGATCAACACCTCGTGGATGATATATGTCTAATGTCACACACTCTTAAGATCTATACTGGCGGAAAACAACATATTGGCAAAGGAGGGCAGCCGTGACTATCTATGAGTGGGAAAAATCTAAATGAAGTTGTCTGCTTCACTTACCTCACCAAGAGTGCATCGTTTCAACTACCAGGTAGCTAGCATGGATGAGGATATATCAAAGCCAGTTAGGATTGGAAAAGTAAAACGGATATTATTCATCATTATTCTGACATCTGTATGGAAATATGCTACACTCAGCATAAAGAAACAAGATTGAGATTTTCAACAGTATTATGTCAAAAATTAACCAGTGCTTCTTTCGAGTTCAAAGACTTGGAGTTGGACGTTACTGAAAGGCAGGCCTCAGCGGAAAAATTATCATCAAGGAATTCTGGCAGTTTAGCGAACCAACCAAGAAATTATCACTTAACAAATATGTCGAAGGAAGTAGAGATGGATTAGACATTTCTTGAAGAGACCTTTGAGCGATATCACGCTTCTCCCCCCCCCCCAGGAGTCGGGACGACGAGTTGAATCTGAGTCCGATTGCGACCTAGAGGAGGTCATATGCGGTGACAATGACAAGTTACCGGCAATCATAGGACCAGTTAAAAATAGGCATGCGAAGAGCAGTCTGAAATAGAGATGTTCATTTGAAGCCCTATGTTTCACTTAGAACACATTATTTATTATTATTATTTTGCTTTAATTCCTAGAGAACATAGGGCTTCAGCCACACGTCTCCTTTGCATTCGGTTCTCTGCCAACGTTTTCACCCCGCTCCAAGTCTACCCACATGCTATCATCACCTCTTGCATGACCTCCTCCAAGTCACCCTCGCACTGACGACCAACTCGCCAAATCCCTTTCAGGTCCCACTCAAGCGACGGCTTATCTAGTGATATCACTTGATGGTTTCCTCAGAGTATGGTCAGCCAATCCATCTCCATTTCTTCCTGCACACCTTTCTGTTGCACAATTGGTTCCTGCTGGGTTGGTCGCTCATTGCCAGAGATCCCTGTTGTTGATCTTTTCTGGTCAGCCATCTCATCTTGAGTATTGAGCGAAGACAGCTGTTGATGAAGGTGTGTAGTTTGTTCGAAGTGACCTTCGTGACACGGTGCTGGCCAAGTCTCTAATCCGTTTAGTAAGTAGCACTGACTTCACATTGGAGTTGAAAATACGGATATTATTTTCATTTTCATACTGAGTGATGTTGATCGCCTCCACACAGACTTGAGAGTAATGAAAGCTTGTCTTGCTTTCCCGATCCTCACTGCTTTGATATCCTGGTCAGTTCCGTCCGCCTGTAGTTGAAACGATGCTTCCTAGCTAGGTAGATAGGTAGGTGGGTCGTTAGGTAAAGGTTGTTTTTTCAGGTTCCTTCCATTTATATTGGCTGATTGTTGTATGTTGTTGTTGGTGTTGGCCAGAGATCTTCCTCACCTGTTAACCTGAAGTCCTATCTTTGATGCTCCTCCTGCCAATTTGTTGCTTTTCACTTGCATATCTTCCAGTTTGTTTGAAACCAGACACATATCGCATTGGCGAAGTCGAGATCCTCCAAGTTTTTTGTGTGAGTCCACTTTATGCCTGCTTCCTCATTGCCCTTAGAACACATTGGAATATTATTATTACAATATGCATATAATATATATAGCAACGATTTCCTATTTTTTGGAGATTCTTTATTTTTCTGCATTTTGTTGTTGTTGTTGTTTTTCTTCAGCTTCTACACAACGACGTGGTACAAGTCGTGGTTTTATGACACCGACAACAAGTTCCGATGCAAAACAAGTTCGTGCCCGAGAATGTATTCGTTCAGTACCAAATGAAAGTCCTATCTCTTCATCTCCACAGTGTGATACACGTAGAATTTATGAACCATCACCGTTAGGTAATAGTAATAAAAAGCCAATTACAACTACATTTCTTCGTCGTGGAACAAGTCAAAATCGTGGTGGAGGCGTCGGTGCTACTGGTGGTACGATTAGACGTAAATTATCTACAGATAATATTGATCAATATTCGCCTTCTAACAAGTCATCATCACGAATATCTGATCTGACAGCCTCAGTGGTTGCTGCTATCGAAGCCTATGATGATCCTAAGGCCTATTTATTTTATCGAATGTTTCAAGGCAGTGAAGAAACTGAACGTACTACAAATGGGATCTTTCAGGCATTTTCATCTTATTCACCGAATTTTCAAGATTTATCTCCTGAAATGAATTCAAAACCTCTGGTAAACATGAATAATGATGATGAGGTTTGTCCTGATGCTGATGCTGGCAATGAACGGTTGTTGACTACTTCTCAGATGAAGAAACACTTATCCAATGATGATTGTTCCAATGGACGAAATAAGGTGAATTACTAAACTGTTTTTGGATTTTATTTTATAGACTGATTAGTGAACAATTATTATTATCATTACTTCCTTTAATTCCTAGAGAACATAGGGCTTCAGCCACGCGTCTCCATTGCGTTCGGTTCTCTGCTAAAGTTTCCACCTGGCTCCAAGTCTGTCCAAACGCTTTCATCTCCTCTTCACATAACCTCCTCCAAGTCACCCCACCCTCGCACTGACGACCAACTCGCCACTTCCCTTTCGTTCAGGTTTCACTCGAGCTATGGCTTTTCTAGTGATGTCACTTGATGGTGTATTTTCTCAGAGTATGGCCAGCCAATCCATCTCCATTTCTTCCTGCCTATTTGTTGCACAATCGGTTCCTTCCTGGTTGGTTCGCTCCCAGAGATCCCTGTTAGTAGTGATCTTTTCTGGCTGGCCATCTGATCTTGAGCGAAAACAGCTGTTGATGAAGGTGTGTAGTTTGTTCGAAGTGCCCTTTGTGACACGGCGCAGACCAAGTCTCTAATCCGTGGTAAGTAGCACTGACTTCGTCACATTGGAGTTGAAAATATGGATCTTATTTTTGATGCTGGGTGCTGTTGACCTCCGCACAGACTTGAGAGTAACGAAAGCTTGTCTTGCTTTCCTGATCCTCGCTGCTTTGATATCCTCGTCAGTTCCGTCTGCCTGTAGTTGAAGTGACGATGTTTCCCAGATAGGTAGGTAGTTAAAAGAGGTTGTTTCTTTGAGGTTTCTCCCATTTATGCTGGTTGATTGTTGTCTGTTGTTGGTGGTGTTGGTGTTGGTCAGGTATTTTCATCACCTCTGTTTTCTCTATGTGTACTTGAAATCCAAGGGATGAACAATAATAATCGTGTCTACGCAGAACGAAAAAATGTCATCATCTTACCCAATTGATGAGTACAAATAGTCTAATAGACATTTGTAATTAATAAAATTAACCCGCTTTAACGTGATCTATAAATATCTCCAACAATATATACATACATTTTTTGTGCAGCATATAGTATTTAGCATGCATCCACTGTGCTTATGGTCTTAACGGTAGACTCAGTGTGAAGTAGGCTATCAATTATTACCCCTGAGTATTCTAAAATTCAGCATTGACTTTGATCCCGACCGATGGCTGCCTACTTTGATGTGGTGGTCGGCCTTGCATGTAGCCTCGACTCAATGAGATACACTGGTTAGAGTTGATGTTTTCCCAGGTCCTATCATGCTAGAAAGGTTGTTTGAACAGCGATTAAACTGAAAACAGTTGACTGGTTGGTTGGTCTATGAGAAAAGTCGTACTGTTGACGCATAAGGATGTGTAACATTAGTAAGATATTTTCCTAAGATGACCAGCATGCCTCCGCTACCTTTCCCTTTTGGAGAGCGGTTGGGGTTAGAGGTTATTATTATTGTTTCCTTGGGTTCCTTCTAGTGGAACTTAAGGCTTCAACTGAACGTCTCCACTTGCCACTTCTGTCTTCCTTCTTCTGTACTTTTCACCTGCATCCATCTTAGTCCATACATACTGTTTCAACTCCTCTTCACACCATCTCCTCTATGTTACCCTTCCACTTACTTCCCACTCGCCGCTTCCCTTTCGGCCTGGTTCCACTCAACCAATGGTCTGACGCGCAAGCGATGTCACACAGCGCTATGCCTCCTCAGCGAGTGTCCAATCCATCTACATCCAATTTCTCCTGCATATTTGTTGGTTGGCGATTGGTTCTTGTTTCGTTTGTTTGTTCCCATAGTTTGTAATTCTTTCCGGCCCCCCAGCCATCTGATCTTTAGTATAGAGCCAGCGAAGACAGTTGTTGGTTGATAAAGGTAACGTCTGCAACAGGCTGTTGGAAATACTCTTTGTGACCCGCCCGCCAAGTTTCTGATCCGTTCCGTATAGAAGAGCTGACTGACTTGACGTTTGTAGAGGTGGTTGATTCAAAAACCTGCACATCCCAATTTACGTCGTAACCGTTCGCAGCTGGCAGGAAGATCTTAAATCGGGATACAACTGCGAAAAAAACCCACTTCAAACCGTCCATGAGTGACCGACCTTAAGCAGTTACCACCCACACACACACACCCTGGTCTTTATGGTCGCGCGACACTAAGAATCACCTTCTTCTACTCACCTACTTGAATTCTTTCTAGGCTATTACATTACGCATAATTACAATTTCATTATACTTAACTTTATTATTATTATAATCACAATATTTGAATTACCTGATAAAACAAGGTTAAGTGAACAATTAATATGTTTTCTAAAGACATTTTTAGCTTTATTAAAATACCCCTTGATTAACGAATTGATCTGATCTTAATTATGAGAGGTGGTGTGAACTTAAATTGGGAATATTAGAAAAGGAAAGAAAGTTAGTTACTGAGGTTTTGAAGCTACATTGATTCAGATGAATTAAGACACTAGTTATGCATACTAAACTATCTCATTTCTAAAAACAATTAGTCCCCTTTTGATAAATTTGAATAAGGCATTTAGAAGACAAATTTCTCAAGATGATATCGTCATTTCATAGTTTCTTTACAACTAGCAACATGGTTAACAATAATAAAATGAAATAAAGTTCATGACAGTAAAGAAAAACCACATCTCTAAAAGACAGCTTCCGTACCAAAGAAAGCTATCTCTATTAACCTACCTCATTCAAGGGTGACCAGACTATGCAGTTGACAGCTAACTCAAAGACTTCGGTCAGCCATCAAACGCACATTCTACGCCACCACATCTCTTTTTCTCACTCGGCTAACATTTTCGAACCCTGTACCTACTACGATTAAAAGACGAAATTTTGTGGACTCGACTTCAAACTGTATCTACAAGTTCACCTGGAATTGTTGCGGCGACACTTATATAGGTAGAGCCAACAGAATGTTCCAATGTCGTCTTTGAAAAGAACATGTTCCGAAATGACTACTAAATCATATAGAAAATCCCAACGCGATTAATCTGAATAGAAATCCGTCATCATCATCATCATCAACGCGTATTGGCCATGTCTCTATGGCTCTGAAACATGGCCAATACGCGTTGAAGACATGAAAAGGTTGACTGCTTTCGATCATAGATGTCTGCGATCTCTGTCTCACGTTAGGTGGTTTCACAAGGTAAGTAATGATGACGTTAGGCGTAGAGTGTTGGGCAAAGAGGGAAAATCAATCGACGAGGCTATAAAGTTACATAGATTGAGATGGCTAGGTCACGTGCTGCGCATGCCTAACCACCGCCTCCCCCGACGACGGGCATTACTAGCTGATATAGGTTCAGGTTGGAAAAGAGCCAGTGGTGGCCAAACAAAAACATGGAATCAATCCATGAAATCCTTGACAGTTAAACTGAGTCAGTCAGGTAGGGAGATGCAGACTCCCAGGTTGGGGCCCTCGGGACTCTAGGAATCAATGGCTGGAGACAATAGGTGACATGGCTCAAAATCGTTGTCAATGACCAGCGCAGATGTATTCAGTCTCTGTAATCTTTCATATTCCTTTCTACCATTACCCATTCTGTTTCACTCTTATACTTGTCAGACTCTATTGATTCTCTTCACTCATCTTCTTGTCTACCTCTGTGTGGTGTTTGGAACGTGTCAACTCGAACTGCTGCACTTCGGTGCCAAGTTCTATGTTGAATCCAGACAGACAGACAGACATCATCCATTGCAAAACACTTATTAATGTGTCAGATCACAAAATCAATATTAATTAATGACTGCTCCACAATTATTACATCACATAACTCTAATTCAAGGTTGGTTATTGAAGACGATGGAAGCACTCTTGGGGATTAATCACATACAGCCTAAACTATGTGTACAAAAAACACAATAGACTTCAGTTTTCGCCTACCATGGACGACATGATCTATCTAAACATGACTGGTCATCAGTATGTACTTTTGTTATTTATTTAACTAAGTAATTGTCATGATCTTTATTTTATTATCGTTAACCATGTTGCTATTTGTAAAGCGATTGTAGAGCAACTACGAAATGACGATATCATCTGGCGAAATTTGTCTTCTTTAATGCCTTATTCAACTATCCCATTTCTCATCAATCAAATGGCAGTTGATTCTGGAAAGTGGTAGGTAAATAGATGTGGTGAGATCAAAACCTGCATCAGTGTATGTCTGTTGGTTTGTGCACATGTTCACTTTGTCTTACTCTCCGCAGTTCTCTTTAACTGGCTTTACGATTGCTCATAGACTTTCAGCTTCTCCTCAGATGATGATGATGATGATGATCTCCTTTATGTCATCCTCAGACTCAAGCCCACTCACTTGGGTTCCACTCAAGCGATGCCATTCGACAGTTTCCTTTCAGAGTTGCCCAGACAATCTGTGCGTCGGTGGAACAGTGGTTAGGACTCTCGCCGACCATGCACATGGTCCGGGGTTCGAGCCCACGCCGGCGCACACCTGATATCTATGGTCGGCCTGCAAAATTTGGGCTACCGATATCCATGCTGAAAATTCCATACTTGTACCAAAAATACAGTGTGGAATCAAGCTGTAAATCAAAAAAAATTATTATTATTATTAATCAATTTGTTTTATTTGATCTAATTTTAAATTTTGATAAAATTTCTTACAGTGCTTCGGTTCAACCGAGAACAATGTTGAAGATGAATATGATACACCAAATCGTCGAACAGATTCAAAACTCACTTCAAATTTACCGCATAATCAGCCTTATGAACAAGGGAATTCTCAGCTATCTACAACATCATCAAAACTACGTAAAGGTCAAAAAGACTCAAACAGCAGTAAAATTTTTCCAAGTGATATTCAAGGTACAATGGGATCTCATGGGTTATCATCAAATCATAAAAATAAAGTGCACGGTGGAGTTGTTGACGATGCCGAGGCTGACGATGATGACGTCATCGATCCGACAATCAAATCGATGAATATATCATTACTAGTTAGTACTTCAGTAACTAGTTTAACACCGAGTCATACGGGGACTTATGTGATTGAAGCAAATGATGAAACTGCTGGTGTTGATCAGTGTCTATCACAGCATTCAGATGATAAAGATGTGTATCCACGTAAAGAATCCGATTTATTAACACCTCGTGGTGGTAGTCCTTTAGATGGAAGTGAAGATAATGAACAGTTGAAACGCTTGCCTGGAGGTTATTCGTCGCATCAACAGTCTAGTAGAAGGCTTCCAATGCATAAAAAGGGGTTTGAGGTGAGAAGCGTATATACATTATATAATAATAGTAATAATAATTATTATTATTTATTTTTTTCCTTCACGTTCCCCAGTGGAACGTAGGGCTTCAAGCTAGTGGTTTGAAGTTTCTGTAGCAGTGTTTATTTTACAGGATGGGGTTGCTAGCCTCATGCCCAACCTTTCCTCCTTACCAGCATTATTTTTTTTTTTGATTTGCAGCTTGATTCCACACTGTATTTTTGGTACTAGTATGGAATTTTCAGCATGGATATCGGTAGCCCAAATTTTGCAGGCCAACCATAGATATCAGGTGTGCGCCGGCGTGGGCTCGAACCCCGGACCATGTGCATGGTCGGCGAGAGTCCTAAACACTGTGCCACCGATGCACAGGTAAAGGAGTGCGTCTGTGGCCGGAGATCGAACCCCGAACCATGTGCATGGTCGGCGAGCGCTATGCTATTCCTAGAGGAACATAGGACTTCAGCCACGCGTCTCCATTGCGTTCGGTTTTCTGCTAACTTTATCACCCCGCTCCAAGTCTGCCCACACGCTTTCATCTCCTCTTCACATGACCTCCTACAAGTCACCCCACCCTCGCACGGACGACCACTTCGCCGCTTCCCTTTCGGTTGGGTTCCACCCAAAAGTTGTCTAGTGATGTCACTTGATGGTTTGTTTCCTCAGAGTATAGCCAGCCAATCCACATCCATTTCTTCCTGCATATTTGTTGCACAATCGGTTCCTGGTTGGTTCGTTCATTACCAGAGATCCCTGTTGGTGATCTTTTCTGACCATCTAATCTTCAGCGAAGTATTGAGCGAAGGGAATTGTTAGTGAAGGTCTGTAGTTTGTTTGACATGCCCTTTATGACGCGTCAAGTCTCTGATCCGTGTAGTAAGTAGCACTGACTTCGTCACATTGGAGTTGAAAATCCGGATCTTATTTTCATTTTCATGATGAGTGCTGTTGATCTCCTCCACACAGACTTGAGAGTGATGAAAGCTTGTCTTGATTTCCCGATCCTCGCTGCTTTGATATCCTCATCAGTTCCATCTGACTGTAGTTGGAACTATTCCATACTTGTACCAAAAATACGGTGTGGAGTCAAGCTGTAATCAAAAATAAAATATATAGACTTCTGGTTTTGCCTGATGAGATAGATACAAGGGAAGAGTTGTGAATGAAGAGAGTGGTAGTGTGAGTTAGATAGATAGAATGGATCGATCCCATTTTTCATATGAGTCCAAGTGCCTGTCGACTAGATTATTAACAAGCTGTTGTATTATTATCCCCTTGGGTTCCTAAAGCCTTGGGGGGAGTGAACACAGGTCTTCTACAGCATATCTCCGCTTTGTTCTGTTCTCTGCAGTCCTCTTTAGCTGACCTTGTGATTGTCCTGAAGCGCCCCTCTCCTCCATGTCAACCTCGGAAACATATCCAACTCGTCGTTTCTCATTCAGGCGGTTTCGAGTCACCTATTCGAGCTATCTGTCGGACACCAACCAGGTAGTCGTTATGTACCATCAAGCGATGCTAACCTGTCACAAACATATCCCTCATCCCACTACGCCATGTCATGGGCTGACCCTCTCTGCTCTTTTTCCATCCCATCCCCAGGCTTGAGAACATCGATTGGTACGGAAGCCTGTGGGATGAAATTTGTATCACATATCCAAGCCGTGGGAGCCTGCTTTTACAGATGACATTCAATGAATGTTGATCTCCATTGTATCCAAACACATTCATTGTGTGTGTGTGATGGTTGTTGATACTACCCTGTTGCCCAGGTTGAAGTAGATTGGAGGGGGGCGCTATATGAACCAGAGATCCACTGGTTTAAAACTGAGTACTTCAGTCAATCAGCTATGTCTCCGTCTTGTGAATTGCTTTTGTGACTGGTCACTAAGCAGTGGAATTCAGGATTCTCATTTCATCCTCTTTGGAACCTACAATTCCCAGACAGTGAGAGATGGTGTTCTCGCTGGCACTGGAACCCAGTATTCAAGTGGTCTGGTGGATAGCAGCACTTTGGCATTTGAAACGAAAAATGTTAGGTTCTTGTAGTAATTTATTGTACTTGGAATATTAGTATTTCGAGATGACCGAATTACAAGAATCCAAACAAAACCCAGAGAGGGCAGAAATCAGGAATTTGTACTTAGCGGAATTATAATGCAATTCATATATGAAATATATCAACAGTCAACAGTATTTTAAACAATACAGAGATAGAAATTGTCAATCACCACATCCGCCACACCTCGAATGTCTCCTCGTGTATTTATAACGATGTCTCGGTTTGCTTGCAAGTAGCTTCGACCTAACTGATTCTGTGATATTATTTTCATCAGTATTATCTGGACCTATTTCTGAATTATCTACAAAATCAGGATTATTAGCGGAATCAATAATATTATAATTGGAACGACCTACTTCATTTATTGTCACTTTGTCCAGGTGTCTGTTATGAATTGAGTGGTCTTTGGTGTCTAATATCTCCACCACTCGATTTCCCATTTTTTGTAGTATAATTCCAACAGAAGTTCTATAATCATTCCCTTTGTAATAATGTACATTAGAAGTCGTGGACATCAGATGCTTTTTGAGAATTCGAGATTTGAAAAGTTTTGCAGGACTTTCACGGGTACTTGTATGCTCTGCATTCGACAGACGCAGTCTATGCATATGCAACAATTCCTCCATTTTAATCAGTTGCTCTCTCATCTCATTCAGGTCTTTTCGTGTTTTCGACAGTTCACATTGTAACTCAGCTACCTCATTTTTGAAAACAGTTGACACTTGAGTTGCCGAACTTGTAGTGGAGGTTTTCATCGGATTAGCTTGAGTATTTTGAAAGGTTGAAAGACACATTGACTCCATTTTACTAGACAGCTTTGAAATGCACCTCGCATCGAAGCATTACAAATAATCAGCAATTCCCGCGGAGACCCAGTAATGGGGAATTTTCCCAGGTTATTTAGTTCCATCGCGACGCCAATTTGTAGTAATTTATTGTACTTGGAATATTAGTATTTCGAGATGACCGAATTACAAGAATCCAAACAAAACCCAGAGAGGGCAGAAATCAGGAATTTGTACTTAGCGGAATTATAATGCAATTCATATATGAAATATATCAACAGTCAACAGTATTTTAAACAATACAGAGATAGAAATTGTCAATCACCACAGTTCTCTAGTCTCTATGGGAACGCCATCACTCACTGGGGGGAATGCAAGAACATTCAAGTGATGATTCCCAAATGGGTGAAAGGATCGTTCAGTTCAATCAACCAACAGGGAAAATGGAAACTGACACTCCCCTTGCACAAGCAGTGCCTTTCGTGACCAAAGTGGTCTAGTCAATAATGCTGTGGCGTTTTAAACCAGGTCTGTAGGGTTCGAGTCTTAGTAGAGGAACATTGCGCAACACTTATCAACTGAAGCCCGACCGAAAGCTGCTACCTTGACGTGGTGGTTGGGCTTGAACACCGCAATGACCTAATCAAGCTATACTGGCTGAGACTTATGTCTCTTGAGGTTCTACCATGCCAGGCAGGTTGTTTGGATAGCGGTTAGACAAAAAGCAGCTACCAAATCCAACACTAAGATACATACAAACTCACAAAATATCATGCCGGATCGGCCGTGGCCCGGATTAACAACGACCGCGCTTCCTGCTACCGTGTCACAGGGCAGGAGTGATAAATATGCTACTGAGACACACCAAACAATAAAGAAGAAACAAAAACAGGCCGCGTGTGACCGGCCTGGCTCAAGCAGTTGTCCCCTGGGCTCTGCGGTCACGCAACCAACTTCCACGGTGTGGGCAGCCGGGAGTAACAGTCATCGCCCTCACAATCCGAAATGCACACGAAACCTCTCTAATCCTCACTCATCTCAACTGAAGAGCTCCAAATTGGAATGAAACGCGTGTGAAACACTGCTAGCCGTCATCGCCGAGTAAATATAGTCCCTGCGAATTGACAAAGAATTCAGGCATTTCATGAAAATTGAATTAACCTTATGTGTTTTATAGTTGAATTTAAGAATACTACTAATTTTTATTTTTATTTTATGACAGCATAGACACACAAACATACATTTTTCACGTTATTTCTGTCTGTTGCTCTAAATTCTGTACACTGCAATTCCCTGATAGTATTACCTATTCAATATTTGTTTGTAATAATGATGCGTTAATTAGTTTTTAGACAATACATATACACTCAGTCACCATTTATGCCTAATAATACACGAGACTAAAGACATGAAGTGTGAGAAAATATTCAACTAAATTGTATATATTCATACTAGGCTAATAATAAATACTGAATACCTCTAGTGAATTGAATAGCATATTATTATCCATTTTGCATGATGGTGATCAGCAAGGGATTGATATCAGTTAGAGAACCATTGAAAACCAACCACGGAGTACTAGACAGCCAGCTGTTCCATCCTAGTTTGGCAATCATTGGAAGTACGTACTCACCGCCAGGGGTCGAACTCAGGACCTTCCGGTTACAAGGCAAGCTCGTATACTACTTAGCCACTGGGACCCGATATCAATCCGTGATCAACTCGTAAAAACATAACTAACCCTTACAAACCAAACTATAGAAGATTAGCAGGGAGTTTAGGATGCACATTTCGCCTTATTAGGGATTAGTCATCTGGATGTACCTGCCACCTCCTCAGTGAGAGATGGTGTCCTCATAGAGGCCAGAACCTATCGTTTCAAAGGTCGAAACGCTTCCCACTAGACCACTTAGGCCGTAAAGGCCACTTCTTGGTCATCAGTTCCCATTTTTTTAAATCCAATTTTGATTTTCACGTTGATTGACTATTTTTTTTTATTTTTGATTACAGCTTGATTCCACACTGTATTTTTGGTACAAGTATGGAATTTTCAGCGTGGATATCGGTAGCCCAAATTTCCCAGGCCGACCATAGATATCAGGTGTGCGTCGGTGTGGGCTCGAACCCCGGACCATGTGCATGGTTGGCGAGAGTCCTAACCACTGTGCCACCAACGCACATTTTTTTTAAATCCAATTTTGATTTTCACGTTGATTGACTACTACAACAGATAACAATCAGCGAACATTAGTGGAAGGAACCTAAAAGAAACAACCTCCTTTACCTACCTACCTACCTGGGAAGCATCGTTTAACTACAGGCGAACGGAACTGACGAGGATATCAAAGCAGCGAGGATCGGTAAAGCAAAGCAAGCTTTCATTACTCTCAAGTTCGTTTGGAGGTCAACACTCAGCACTCATCGTGAAAATGAAAATAAGATCCGGACTTTCAACTGCAATGTGAAGTCAGTCAGTGCTACTTACTATACTCATCAGAGACTCGACCAGCGCGTCATGAAGAGCATCTCAAACAAACTACAAACCTTCATCAACAGTTATCTTCACTCAATACTACTCAAGATCAGATGGCCAGCCAGAAAAGTTCATCAACAAGGATCTCTGGCAGTGAGCGAACCAAACCAGCAGGAACCAACTGTGCAACAAATAAGCAGGGAGATGAATTGGCCATACTCTGAGGAAACCATCAAGTGACATCACACTCCAGATAATCGCTCGAGTGGAACCCGAAAGGTGGCGGTGAGTTGATCGTCAGTGCAAGGGTGACATGGAGGAGGTTATGTGAAGAGGAGATGAAGCATGTGGGAAGACTTGGAGCGGGGTGAAAACGTTGCCAGAGAACCGAACTCAATGGAGACGTTTGGCTGAAGTCCTATGTTCCTCTAGGAATTAAATGAAGCAATAATAATGTGTTGATTGAACAGAAGAAATGTTCAACGTCTGCTGACATGGCGGCTTCTAGTACAGACGCTTCGACGATATCTGAGGATTACCTTGAAGTAATTCAACAAGGAAAAACTCTGCGAAGCTTTCGAAGTGAATACGGTAGTTAGACAAGGCTACTACTGCCTGCTATCACAGACGATGATATTCTTAAATGTGGTGGACTGGATTACGCGTCAGACTGTGAGTGGGGAGATATTTTGGACTGATAGGAAGACTCCATCTAGAAGATCTGTATTTCACAGATGACTTATGCCTAACGTCACAGAGACTCGTAGACTTGCAAGCAAGCAAAAGCCAACAAACTGGCAGATGCGGCTGGCAGATAGTGAAGACAGGACTATAGGGGAACATAGAAAAGACAACTAACAGCAACAACAACAACTAGCCCGACCCAAGTGGCCTAGTGGATAACGCTATGGCGTTTGAAACTAGCCCTAATGAGTCGGAATACTCACTCACTGAAGAATGAAGTTACGCCCATCTCTGACAAGTCCTAATTCCGAAGAAATTAACATCTTGCATCCTAATACTGGTCGCCATCTACCAAATTATTTCAAGGTGGAGATGTACGTCACTACTGACTAAAGTGCTTGGTTTCCAACCTGCTAAACCTCTTGTTCATATTATCGATCAATAAATATACTTCAGCCTAAGCACTTGGATAATAAGTACTATCACAGCCATCATTCAGTTTGTAAATGTGACTAATATATACTGCTGCATGAAAGCTCTTGTTTCTGGAGGTAATTGAGTCGATACATAAACTGAAGAGTTAAATAGAAGTTTAAGTATCAAACTTGGCCATTGTGGTGATAGAGTATAACTCCATTATGGATAAGATTTTATTTTGATAAATCACAGTGTTGTACAGTAACATTAACTGATATGACCACGTTTCGAGCACAAACTTTTGCTCATAATCATATCAAGTCGCTCACTCACACAACTTTCCTGCTTCGTTTATATTATTATTATTGTTCCCTTGGGTTCCTAGTGGGACTTAGGGCTTCAACTGAACGTCTCCACTTGCCACTTCTGTACTTTTCACCTGCATCCATCTTAGTCCATACATACTGTTTCAACTCCTCTTCACACCATCTCCTCTATGTCACCCTTCCACTGACGTCCCACTCGCCGCGTGCTTCCCTTTCGGCCTGTTTCCACTCAACCAATGGCCTGACGCGCACGTAATGTCACCCAGCTCTATGCCTCCTCAGCGAGCGAGTATCCGATCCATCTACATCCAGTTTCTCCTGCATATTTGTTGGTTGGCGATTGGTTCTTGTTTTGTTTGTTTGTTCATATAGTTTCCCATAGTTGGTGATTCTTTCCGTCCCCCCAGCCATCTGATCTTTAGTATAGAGCCAGCTAAGACAGTTGTTGTTGATAAAGGTGACGTCTGCAACAGGCTGTTGGAAATATTCTTTGTGACCCGCCCGCTAACTTTCTGACCGGTTCTGTATAGAATAACTGACTGACTTGACGTTGTTTGTATTGAAAATCCGACTGAATTTTGTTGTTGATGCTGGCCGAGTGATGAATATTTCCAGATTGATTTCAGGTTGATCAATGTGTGTGTTTCTCGCCTTCCTGATTCTCGATTTGACATCCTCGTCCATTCCTGTGGCCTATAGTTGAGACAATGCTCAATGCTAAGTAGGTGAGTGAATGAAGTAACCTCTTTCAAATCCCTCCCTTTGTGATGGTGATTGGCGCTGGATGTTGTTGCTATTGGTGGTTGGTTGGTTATTTTCATAACCTCCGTCTTGTCTATGTTCACCTTGAGTCCTGTCTTCAACGGCTGCTTCTTCGACCAGTTTGTCGGTCGGTTTTTGCTTGTAAGTCTTCGATTTTGTGTGACATCAAGGATAAATCATCCAGGCGCGAAATCCAGGTCTTCTAGGTTCTTCACGTCAGTCCAGGATATCCCTGTCTTCTCGTTTTCCACTCACTGTCTGACGCATAATCCAGTCCATCATGATTAGGAATATCATCGATGATAAAGGCAGGCAGCCTTGTCTGACTCCTGTGTTTACTCCAAATGCCTCGCTGAGTTTTCCGTTGTATATATATACATGAGTGGACTTGATGATTAGACATTTGATTGAATAAAATCAATATAGGATGATTAATAAAACTCCGAATAAATATGCTGAAGAAGCTCTGGTAGCTTACATAGCGAAACGTTCAGATAAATCTTGTTCTTTTTATTTTCTTAACACGCTGGGATTAATTTAAATAATTTATAGTGAATCAATCTGACTCGGCACTCAATGTTCGTAACACCTACGATCTGGAAACTTATAATAGGATAATGTACATTCAGATATAATAATAATATGAGTGTTATCAATCGAATACAATCACATGGGGAAGGAAATAAGATGTTTTATAGTCACAATAAGTTAGAATGTCATGATATGTTTGAATTGAAATAGAATTTTGAGATGATTTATTATCCTCTTCTGATTTGACCGACTGTAATAATGTCTTCCATATTTCTGGTATTTGCATTGAATCATTTCTGTTGCATGTGTTGTGTTGCGTGTAGACTCGATGAACCAGGCAGGATTCAGTAATCAATCTTAGCCCTATTCCACTGTATTGTGTGGTTGTATGTTATTGCATGAAGTGCAGTTGATGAGCTTTCTTCTAAATTAATCATCTTCTCGGAGTCAACCATTCTTACTTTCGCCAAATTCTTATGTTCCGACAATCTGATCAACCCGGATCTACAAGTTTGATTGACTTATGTAGTTGACATCATTCACAGTCACTGCAGAGTATTTTATAAATTATATTATTTTGTTTAATTGGGTCCACCGGGTCTTTCAGCCTACATTATCTCATATGGATTTTTATTCAAATATCTAGTTAATTCCACACATGTTTATGCATGAAGAAAAAGGCTGTATGAGTACCTTGATGTGACTATGAGCAGTAGTAATAAATTGTGCTCGAAACGTCATCAGTTAATATTACTGTATAACACCACTGTGTGACAGTTTATCAAAATGAAATCTTATCCATAATGGAGTTAAGTAGAATTAGGTTAGAACTTTATACTATATTATTTAGATATGATAGAGAAGATTTGTAGCTCAGGTGGATGATTTTGATGTGGTTTTGTTCTCTGAGCTGGATGGTTAGTTTGCGAAGCTTTCATCACCTTACTGGGTGACATCTTCAGCGCATACTTCAATTTGAAGTGAGCTTTTAGATTTCTCCACGAGTTTATTAATCATCTCTCCTGGTGACCTTGGACGTGATTGGTTGTTTGTGTGTGTTTTCACACCTTCTAGGTTACTTGTATTGGAACCGGTTGTTTCTTTGACTTGAACTTTGACCCTTTGTGTGTGAAGTTTCTTTCTTATTGGTTGATAAATTTTGTCTATCTCGATGTGTCTATTGATTGATGATCCACTGGAATGCCAGGCTTCTAAAAATTCTCTAGCATTCTTGTTATTTCCTTTGTCTAATATTTGAACGTTTTCCCAGTCGAATTGATGTCCGGGGTTTTCTGTGTGTAGTGAAACAACAGCAGTCAGCTCTGCTTTTTCCGATTATCTGCTGTCCTCTTTAGCTGGCCTCACGACTGCCAACGCTCTCTGATCTCCTCGTCACATGATCTCCATGTCACTCTCGGATTAACGCACAACTCGAGCTATGGCCTAGAGCGTGATGTCATTCGACGGTCTCCTCAGTGTACGCCAAATCCATCTCCATCTTCTAATACATATTTTTTGTGGTGGTTAATTTCTTCCCATAGTTTTTTGTTGGTAATTCTTTCTAGCCGACTGGCCATTTCATATTCAATATGTCCAATATTGGTCATTGGATTGGGTCTCAGTGGCCTCTAAGGGTCTACGAGCTCGGTGGCCTCATAACCAGAAGGTCCTGGGTTCTAGCCCTGTCGGTAGGTACGTACTGTTGAATAAGAGTCCCAAGCACTAGGACGAAAGCAGCTATCCCCACCTGTACTCCCCGGTGATTTTCCAATGGCTAGCTCTCTAACTGATGTCAGCTCATAATGAAGTCATCCAATCAATCAAACAAAAATTCCCTACAAAAAACAAACCAATACTTCAATAAGTTGTTTCATTTTCTAGCCATATTTGATCTTCGGTATCATACCTTTATTTTTCATGATTAATTTTTGTTGTTGTTGTTGTGTTATTCACTCTAGAATTCCATGTCGTCTTCAGTGGATCAAATACAAACCCATATGCCATCATCTAAACTTTTCCAGCCTACAACACGTAAAAAACGAATCTATTCAGATCATGAAGTGATATCATCTTCAACAGATTTGCATAAATCTCAAACAGCTGATAAATCTCTACACCTTGTCATACAAGCTAATTCAACAGTTTGCCTTAGCGAAAAACTGGATGGTGTTGATGATGCTATTCAACCTGATTATGATCGAGTGAAAAAATCTGCTCTTGCTGCTGAGGTGGGAGGAGCAGGGGTAGTTTAGAGGATAGCGATGTTTTCTGTGCTTCATCGGTTAGCTTAACACCATCGCATACAGGTACTTATGTTTTAGACATGGATGAGACATTAGCTGCACAAGGTATCCTGCCTGTGGTTATTTCTAGTGATGAGAAGGCGTTAGCTTCAATAACTACTGATTCTGGACTAGCTACTACTATTACCAGTTCTTGTTGTCCTGAATCGATAAGAACATACACAGCGGAGACTGTCACCCCTAGAGGTAGTCCTAATATTAAAGAGAAATTATGGGATGTTGTAGAGACTGAAGAAGGCAGCAATGATGAAGAGAGGTTGTTAGTTGTTGTTGGATCGAATGAAATACGCGGAAATGTATTTTCATCACAATTCCCTGAAAGTAATCATAATAACAATAATAGACAATATGAAGTGTTGAATAAATGTGACAATGAATTAGATGCACATTTTGCTATGGAATCACTAAGAGCGGAATTTGAAGACACGTATAAATTACTTCCATCTCCTGTTCAATTTCTTGCAACAAATGCTATCGATTCATCATTTTCGGTGAGTTTATTGATTTGTTTTTTTTTCATGGAATATTTTTGTCTTTTTTGAAATTTAAGAGTTATTTCGCCTTGTTTGAGACTCTTGAATAGTACTCAGCCATGACCCTATCGGTGATGGGAGTCAGGAGGTATTCAAGTTATGAGGTGAACCACTTTGACGGAATCCAAGGGCTCATGAATTATAGCAGAGTGGCGTTGTATATATATCGTGAATTGGCAGAAGTTAGAATTTATGGGCTACTTGGTCGGACCTCAGTGGTCGAGTAGTCAATGGGTTCTGAGTTCTATCCCCAACTGGTTTCACCCTGGTTTGTGACTCTTCATCACTATGCACCCGCCGGATGAGCTTCAAAGCCGGGACCGTCCGGTTACAAGGCGAGCTGAAGAGTCCCAAACTAGGATGATACAGCTGTCCCATACTCCAAGGTTTTCCAATGAAGTCCTGTAGCCAATCAAATCCCTCCAAACCAACACGCTCGCTAGCACGGATCCGAAAAGCTCGAGCTGCTTTCGCTGACTTACACCATCTCTGGCGTAGGCGTGACATCCGACTGGCTATCAACCAAGGTACGTGTGTACTGCTCAGCAGTTCGTTCCGTCCTTCTCTATGGCTCTGAAACATGGCCAATACGAGTTGAAGACACGAAAAGGTTGACTGCTTTCGATCATAGATGTCTACGGTCTCTTTTTCACGTTAGGTGGTGATAATAAGGTAAGTAATGTTGACGTTAGGCGTAGAGTGTTGTGCAAAGAGGGAAAATCAATCGACGAGGCTATAAAGTTACATAGACTAAGATGGCTAGGTCACGTGCTGCGCATGCCTAATCATCACCTTCCCCGACGGGCATTACTAGCTGATATAGGTTCAGGTTGGAAAAGAGCCAGTGGTGGCCAAACAAAAACATGGCCTCATCAATCCATGAAATCCTTGACAGTTAAACTGAGTCAGTCAGGTAGGGAGATGCAGACTTCCGGTTTGGGGCCCCCTGAACTGACTCTAAGAATCAATGGCTGGAGACAATAGGTGACATGGCTCAAAATCGTTGTCAATGGCCAGCTCAGATGTATTCAGTCTCTGTAATCTTTCATATTCCTTTCTACCACTACCCATTCTGTTTCACTCTTATACTTGTCAAACTCTATTGATTCTCTTCACTCATCTTCGTGTCTACCTTTGTGTGGTATTTGGAACGTGGCAACTCGAACTGGTGCACTTCGGTGCGAAGTTCTATGTTGAATCCAGACAGAGAGACAGACAGACTGGCCCTATCTAGGTCGTGACCAATAGGTACAGCAGATTGAGTGTGAGAATAAATACTCACCACCGACGATGACATTGGTTAGTGCCAGTGGCGCTATATCGTGAATATTGACTGGCAGAATTAGCCATTGGATCGGATCCCCGTGGCCTATCGGACTACGAGCTATCGTTGTAACCAGAAGGTCCTGAGTCTGAACCCTGGCGATGGATGCTTCTGCATATTTTTCGAACAATTAAATCAGTTCTTCTATATGGGTGAGAAACTTGTCTAGCGCGTCATTAATGGCATTTCTAAAAGCCAGCTGCCCACTTCGCTGGCTCTACATTGAAGATCAGACGACCACCAGACAGGAAGGGTAAACAACACGAAACTATGAGAACAAACTAGCCCTAGAACCTAACGTTGAAGAAATATTCCGAAGGAAATTGAAATGTATCGGACACGCGCTTAAGAGACCGTCAACTAACATCGCACGCAATGCAGACCATCATCACTGTAGTGTAACCTGAATGGGAAATGAGGAGTTGGTCATGGGTTGAGGCTGACATAGAGGAAATGTGAGACAATAGACAATAGTGGGACTAGTTTACGAAGACGGAAGAGAATAGGACAAAATGGAGATGTGCTTTTGAAACCCTATATTCCACTCAGTACACAAGGGAATAATAATAATAAATTCCATATCACCTGAAATCACTTTTGTCTGAGCATTTTCTGTGAACAGTTATCTCTGAGTGAATATTTTGTTTTGTCTCGTTTCCTTGTGAAATGTTATTTCACAAAAGTGTTTAAGTGGGAACCTCTTTTATCCTTGTGGACCCGAAGCTTCACTACAGGATACACCGTTGAATGTGTGGTTTGATATCATTGGGACTGCATTGAATTAGCGTAGTGAAGCTAAATAACTTTCTTAATCTGAGAAGTCAGTGAATTATAAAGACAAAAATGAGACCACTTCATTACACCTTGATTGGTAGTTCTGTTGAGCTGTGATAGAGAAACTTCACTGAACTTCACTGACAATTAGCTGGCTGGCTGGCTGGCTGGCTGCTGAGTCCACTAAATCATGTATTCTCGTGGACAACAACGTGAAAGAGGTAATTGACTAATGGATGGCACTGTGGCGAGTGCCCAGTCACTTTCAAACTTACCCTGATGAATAAGCCTAAACGACCCTAGTCAATATGTTAGAGTGACCATTCCAACTGAATTTGAGTCCTCATCTTGTCTGAAAGGACACTCGCTTCTCGGCTCTTTGAGCCAAGATTATGTGCAGTATCTGTTCATTGCAGTGTAACTTTTACAACAGTCTCTAAACTGAGACAAATGAAATTACCTGTATTTTTCCCTTACGGACGGGTGCTGTGAGCTTGCTCAACCCCGTCCATGGAACGACCTCGTATTGCATTACCTCGAGGATTGGCCGATTATTATGCGTCGGTGGCACAGTGGTTAGGACTCTCGCCGACCATGCACATGGTCTGGGTTCGTTGCCCTGCCGACGCACACCTGATATCTATGGTCGGCCTACAAAATTTGGCCTACAGATATCACATGCTGAAATTCCATACTTCTACCAAAAAGTACTGTGTGGAATCAAGCTGTAATCAAAAAAAATAATAATAACTATTGACTGGCTACAATGAGCATGATATTGGTTACAGGATTTCATCATGATGAGGTGACATCGGTTAGGGAACCATTGGAAAACCTAAAGGTTCTACTGAACAGCTGTTTCGTCCTAGTGCCTATAAATCTTCATCAGTACGCACCCATAGAATGGGGTTCAATACCAGGACCGTCCGGTTACAAGGTGAGCTCATACCATACGATTAAGCCACTGACACTCTATCCTGTGACCCCTGAATCCACTAGCCCTGGATTCGAACCTCTCCTGGAAGAGGTCCATGCTGTTAAAAAGTCCGAAACAAGGCGGAAACAGCCTTCCGGTATACTCCTAGGTTTTCCAACTGTTCTTTAACCGATATGTCAGCTCATCATGATGAAATTCTGAAACCAGTCAAATCCCTGCCAACCAATACTTGGACATGCCTATTATCTTACATAATACATATATATACACAAATATATACATTGGCTTTCCTGGATTGTCAAAGGTTCTGTCATGTTATACTTTTTTTGCCTTTTTCTTCTGCCATTCTCTTCACTCAGTGTTCTTCTGCCTGATTGGTTAATTCATTGAGTTAATTTTAATGAATTCCTACTTTTTTTCCCCTCGTAAGTCAATCCCATGAAGCAAGTTGGCGCTAGCTAACCAATAGTATCTACTATCTGTTTCTTATACACACGCACATACACACCTACATGCATGCATGCATACATACACACACACACATACACACAAACATATATGCATATATGTGAGGTTTTCCTTTAGGTTTCTTTTTCCACTCCATATTCTCAATGTCTATTTGTGTTTATTAAGAAGGAAAAGAACTGACCGCCCGCCCGCCGCCAGCCTCATTATTATTATTCCTTTGTGGGATAACACATACATATATTATCTTTACACTAGATTGCTCTCTTCAAATGAAGCGGAAATGTCATTTGCATTTGGAACTGACAATGATCACCGCTACTCCTCCGTCTACTTCTTCTTCTAATTCTAGTTCTTCTGCCAGACACAATGATTTATGTGTACAGACTTGTCAGTTGTCATGTTGTTTTGTTTGGTTTTTTCCTAATCTGAGACATAGTTATGTTGTATAAATAGACCATTTCGACTTGTACTCAAATATGGATTTTACAGGAATTCTTAGATTTCTGTCGAATCGTCGTACATCGTACGTAAGTTTCTCCGCCCAGTTTTATCTATTCACATTTATTTATTAATTTATGTATATATTATTATTATGTGTTTTATAATATTTTGAACGCATTCGACGTGTGTGTGGTGGGTGGGTGTCTACTCGATATCGCCTGTGTCTATTCGACTGCTTTAATCGAAAAGGCTCTTCCTTTTTCTTCAGACATGTTTAAACAATCTGACGACTTAGACTCTTTATTTCTGTTCTCTCAAAGTGCATTCAGTCAATTATAAATGTGTTTTTGTGCCATGTGCATATGCTACGCACGTATGCTTAGCCATCGCTTTCCTCGACAATGGACAGTGTTAGCTGACATAAGATGGATCAGGTTGATAAACAGCCAGTGGGGTGGTCAAACCGAAACAAGGCTTCATCAGTCAGTGAAATCCACAACGGTTAGTCTAAGCCAGCCAGCCACTTAGGAGGTAGACTTCTTGAGTGGTTAGGGTCCTCAAGACGGTAAAAACCAATAAAGGCTGGAAACAATTAGTGATATGACTAAAAAGTGATCGTTCTCAATGGATGGCGCAGATGCATCCACTTCTTGTGACTTATAATATGCAATGAAACTATATTGTTCTTCGATATTACTATTCTTTTTGTCTCATATCTCTGTTCACTGTCTCTATTTTGCATTTTTCACTCTCTTCTCTTGCTTTGTGTGTTGGGTAAAGTGTGGTAACTCGAACTGCTGCACATCAGTGCAAAGTTCTATGTTGAAACCAGTTAGTCATAGGATTATTTAGACTTAGTTGTCTCCTCTGAGCTGCGAAGCTGTCAGTGTCTTTCCAGAGACATCTTCAGTGCAAGCTTTAATTAACATAAAGTGAATTTATTTGATTGAATTTCTCCATGAATACTGATGATATAATTGTATCTGTTGACAAACTATTCTTGTGATTGATTGG